TAAAACATTAAAAAGTTAAAAACACTTATTCAACCCTTCACCTCAAATTAATGAAGAAAAATTGTCACTGCTATCACACACAATCCGGAACCTTTGGCGTTACGCGCCCACGCTCTACCTACCTCCGTCAAGTACAAAGAACAAATTTCATCAAAGTATTTCGTATGGATATGTTGAGATGTACATACATGTATAAAATTAGTTCCTACGATTCGCTAACCTTGTGGATACATTTAATCCTTATTATTGATGTCGCCATTCGTAGCTTAGTGAAGAAAGTGTTGGCGCGTAAAGCCGAAGGTCCCGAGTTCGAATCCCAGCGAGTGTGACTGCAGTTACAATTTTTCCTCGCTTTATTGAGTTAATCCCCCGAATCTGGGTTGAACATTAATTCACATTATTGTCTAAATAATTGTTAGATATTATTAACCTCTCTAAAATATGTATGATGTACATATTTCTTAAAAAAAAAAACAACGGCTTGTTCCACAGATTAATTTAAAAATTAATTTTTAATTAATTTCGTTTTATAGTTTAGGTACGCTCCGACACACTTGTTTGTAGATGCACCAGTCAGTTCTGTATAATTATAAAGAAAACCGTAAATTTCAAATTCAAATACCTATCGCTATTGACGATAAGGTTAATAAAAGAATTACTTCCAGTCTAGTTCATCCTGTCGTTATGAGAATCTTCGATGTCAAAATCATGGTCCTAATTTGCTTGGTAGTTCCACAGATATAATGAAACTGCATGTCAAAGGGCTTCCGTTATATCACTCAATCTTGTCGACGACTTTAAATTAAAATCAACCCCCATTAGAAGGTCGTTTGCTGCTAATGAAAATACGTTTAGAACGGAATTTGCCAGATATTAAACTTGCTTTAAGGCAACCCCTATGAAATGTGCTTACAAATTTACAATAGTGCAGGAAGGAGCTAAATAGATCTAATGTGCATATCTAAATAACACATTCGTTTGCATTTCTCTCATTAGTCTTGAATCTATATGTATATTGCTGTTTATTTAGTTGAAACATATTCCAATTTAAAAGGAATTAGAACCCGAAATAAGTCAAAATCAAATTGTATGATTTTTTATAAAAACACCTTTTATGAATTACTTAACATGTTTCAATCCATGCCATTGCCATTTCTCATGATCAGAACAATGTGTAAATACAACATTACTTTACAACGTATACCTACATATTTTGTGCTTAATCAATATTTTGGTGGCGTCATACAAATCAAAACATTATTTCCGATTATTAATTAATACCAGCTGCGTCTCCTGTATTAATGGGGATCACATTGCGCTTAGGTACATTGGAAATAATTTAATAGTTTTTAGAATAACACATGCAAATAACGACTGATGGATCAAATTTTTCATATTTAAATCGAATTCATTACGAACAATTGTAATTAAGAAGGATTGAAATTTAAATAAAATTTAGGAATTCGAGTAGTTCTCAGTATATTTCCGTCTATAGATATTTTCTTCTAACTGTTGTTTTTAATAGTCCCTAATTCTTACAAACACTGTCAATTTGAAAAGGTGCCTGGATAGTTTCGATTTTCGATAAACCATCGATTAAACAGAAATTTCTACATAATATCAAGTAAGTGGCAGTATGTTGCCATCTGCAATAATAGTAAAGTACTACAATTAGTAGAAAATCTCTATAGATGGCGATATAGTTTCAGTTACATGACATTAACCAACTTGCATATATATTCTACTGTATGGAAATATTAAACGTACGACCGAGCAAAATGACTACAGGTTTAGACTAATGTTTGGCTCGGTTCGATTCCGGATCCACCTGCCAAGTTTTCTAAGGTTTCCTTGGATCATTTAGGTAAATGCTGGGGCAGTTTATATTCACTGATAATCTCTCATTCTCTTCTGTTTTCATTTCATTCCTCTCATCTTTCTCACCCGATCCACCATCTACCCATTCCCTGAAAAAAGACCGAAGAGGGCTATCCGCCCTACCTTCCGGCGTAGTCTGGAGGGATTGCCCACCAACCAGCATTAGTGGCCGAGGGGATTGAAACATCCAAAAGTTTTTTTTTAATGCAAGAAAAACTAAGTGGCCCGTTCCATGTCTGGGACGATTTTTATGAAAAAAGAGTTAATAACCAAATACCTAATCACTCAATAAAGTTTGACGGAACACTACTGCAAAAGTGGAATAGTTGAGTGAACTTTTAACTAACTCAGGCTCAAATTCTGAGACGGCATTAACACTTAAAGTGAAGAGAAGGACGGGGCTGTAGTCAAAATGCTGCTAATTTTTCAACTGTCAAGTGAGTAGTTGGCGTAAAATAAGATTAAGGATTTGTTCAACCAAACAAAGCCTCTGGAAAAGCTTAGTTATGATTAAATAGGTACCTTAAACAAAAAGCTTTTCATACGTCTTGAATATGTTGCTTCGAATATTTAATTTAAATAAAGGCCAAAACTGACTGTCAGTTTTTTGTTTCAGATGACTTCCGTCGAAATGTTACCGCTACAAATCCTGGACTCCGTAATCCATATTGAATGATTAAGAAATTCAACAACTATTAAATTTATTATTAAAACTATAAATGACTAATAAACATGATAGACACCATTAAAAATTTCATAATAGTAAAACCGCTACTTCTGAAATGATATTTTCATGATCATCTCATCTAAATTCTGCAAAAATGAAGCATAATACAAAATTAAAACGAATACGCCTAAAAAGAAGCAGTTTTTCGGTGCTTATTAAGACACTTGACACTTTGTGTTTGCCAATGAAATGGACGATGAAATTAAAAAGCGGTCACCACTTTTTATAATTCTGTAAAACAGTAATAAAAATTAATAGAGTCGATAAAATGTGCTGCGGTCCATTAAGTGGATCGTCCCGAATAGGTCTCTTTTTTGGATTTTTAGCGCTCGTCACTCTATTAACAGCATTTGTAAGCGGAAATTGGATATACACAAAGGAACCAGTACGACTGCCAAATTCGGAAATTACCACTTCAATCAGCTTCCGCATTGGTCTGTGGCGGGTGTGCCCTTATGTGAAGAAAATTAATTCAACGACGATTCGTAAGTTTTCTTTTTTCATAACTCATACTTTATAAGGATTCCATAGCTAACATAATAGAAATAGTAGCCGTACATATATAGTGTAAACCCTCTATAACGAAAATCAAGGGATTGAACGGTTTTCCTTGTTAAGGAGAGTCTTGATATTGATCCTGGTCATGCTCAAATGCTTCTAACCTTGGTCTTGGATTTGTTCAATGCTGCTAATCTTGGTCTTCCTCAAAAGCTTGTAACCTTGATTTTGGTCTTGCTGAAATAGTCTCGGTCTTGACCTTGGTCTTGGTTTTGTTCAATGCTTCTAACCTTGATCTTTCTCAAATGCTTATAACCTTGATTATGGTCTTACTGAAATAGCCTCCGTCTTGACCTTGGTCTTGCTCATATAGCCTCGGTCTTCATCTTGGTCTTGCGTGTTAAGCCTTGGTCCTGTTCATTTAATTTGAAACATGCGTTTTTTTTTTTAATAATTCTTCTAAGCACAAATTTTCCTATTTGAAATTTTCTGTCATACATGCGACCTTGTCATGACTTTTAAAGAAAATAATTGCGATAGTTGTGAGAGTTATGAAAACTGTAAAACTTACCGTTACCAATGTACAAATCAACCTTTTAGATAACAAAATAGTACAAAAACTTAAAACAGGTGAAAAAAATTAGAAAAAAAAATTAATTTGTCTCTATATTTCAACCATATGCTATCCAAACGTAGGAACAAAGAACGCTTACTCCTAGGGCATCCTTGTAGATCCTTTTTCGCAAACAGTGGTAAAGTTTTGTTTTTTTTTTATTATTAAGTATTACAATCTAGTAAAGCAAAGTGAAACTTTCAAATACTGAACATGGTTTGTTCCAAGAAAAGAATATATTAAAGTTGTTTCAATTAGTTTAACTCATAAATCTGCAGGAAGCAGTAACTTTTCATTTAGTCATGAGTTCGTTTTAGCCTTGGTCTTGTTCGTTTCGTTTTAATCTTAGTATTGGTCTTGGTTTTAGTCTTGATCTTGTTCGCTCGTTCTTGGTTTTGGTCTTACGAAAATGTAATTTTTCTCATCACTACTAATTATTTACGAATAGTAATCTAACCTCCCTTTTGCCCCTGTTTTTACTTCTAACCTGTACATATACCTCATTTACTTTCTCTACTGATGTGCCCCTTCCTATGTCTTTCATGAGTGCTGACAAAAACGTAGGTAGGGAGAAAAAAGCTCATTATACTCTCGACTCTTGTTCATTAAACATTCTTTTTCGTACAGTACCTGCCAAAAGTTTTGTTCAATCATGAATAGTAGTGCGAGTCGAAAACAAGCGTTAAAGCCTTTAATATATCTTCAAATATAAATAAATATCTCGTTGATATTTTCAGTAGTAATTGGTAGCAATAACAGCACATTTGAGCAATGCAATTGTAGTGGATAAATTGGTCAATTTTTCCGTGCAGTACTGTACGAATTATACGCTCCTCACCGGTTAAGAGTTTGGCCGAGAGTTGTCTCCTTCCTTTTCTGGCCTAGTGCTGTTCTTTTCTACTTTGCGCCGGTCAAACTGAAGGTCACATCGCTACACAAAGTAAACGAAGTATACCTCACGAGTTTTTACTGCCATGGACGTAATTATGTTTGCAATAAAACTGCTTTATTCTTTATTGCAGTAAAGCAAGTTATCAATAAATCAGAGTATTCAACTTTTGTGCGGTAACAGTAAAATCTCCAATATACCCAGATTAAATTACAGGTCTCATACCTGCTACATTTAGAAAACATGATTTGGGAAAAAGATTTCTCCGTAAAGAAAACTTCAAAGCGCTTTGTATAACATAGAGATGAAGTTCTCGAAGTTTTTACAAGGTCTCCTCCGTGTAGCGTTCATATTTGTACTTCTTTTCATTTCATTTTCAGAAACTTTGACTTTCCTACGTAATATACTTACATGTTTATAGGTACCGAGAAGCAAAAGTAAGGCCACTTCGAAAAAGTTTCCTTAAGAAACGGCAGACGTAAATTCTGAAAACTTTTTTTGTGGTATTTGAGTTTAAACTTTATTATAAAACTGATTGGCTGAGATGCTGACATAAAATTTTCGCAAAACCAAAAAATATGTATTAAAGAACCTGATGTTCCTGTTCAACGTTTTTTGTGCATTATTGAAGTTCAACTTCATTGAAATTTAGATTAAAATATTGTACATTAAGTAACCAATCAATTAGGATTTATAATCAATAGACTTCACTTGCTAATGTAGAAATGAATTGACTCCCAACACGCTGCAAATATTTTAGTCAAGCTAGAGAATAGAAACAAGGTACAGCTTGACAAAAATAGGAAGAATTTTCAATTAGCAACGTTTAAGCGCGACAGAAAGACATAGAAAGTATTCGGAGGAAGAAGGGCGGTAGAATCAATAGGATTTAAACATTAAGAAGGAACCCACATGAATTACTAACCAAATTGTCGACTGTTTTAAAATAATTGAATACTGCAGCTCGCAATGAAACAAAAGAAAAGCACATGGATCCAAGAAAGCGAACTGTAATAACACCAGTAAAATCAATAACAATAGCAAAAGCAATAAAAACACGCAAATAGCAAGAACCCACAGAAGTAATTGTGGTGCTCCCGAATGATATCTAGCCAAACGGTCGAATAGAAGTGGCTTCCCTCGCTTCCACAAACATTCAGTTTACCGCGCAGGCTTAGGCGGAAACAATTCACACTTCTTCCTATTTGTGTCAACCTGTACTTGTTTGTTCTGTTTATAACTCATACAGATCGTTAAATTGTTTTTCATTAATTAAATTTAAATTTGAGAATGTGTACAAAATAATGGAGTATGTCTTAATATGCAAAAGCTCTCCAACTACATTATATAGATGGTTTCAGCTAAAAAGCTATCATCAAAAACAATATTGCATAAATTTTGGAACTCTCTTAAA